TGAGGTATATAGGGTCCGAGTGGCAGATCTATGGCAAAGAGAGCTTGCATTTTCTGTCCTGAGAGTTCAGGTAGGGAGAGAAGAAACCTGATGGAACACGTCTTTGTCTTCATTTGTTTTCTGTCAATATAGCAGAATATCTGAGACCAGGAATTTACTAAAACAAGAGATATATCTGGTCCATGATTCTGGAGGCTGTAAGGCTGAGGACTAGGCAGGTGCGTCTAGAAAAGGTCCCCTGCTGCACCACAGCATGACAAGTGGTTTACCAAAAGAACACAGTGTCAACTGTCTGAGGTGCTGACCCTGATTTACCATGTCTGAGCAAAGTGGGTTTTTCACAACTGAGGAAAACAAGTCAGTGTGCCACTTCTTAATTTTAAGAATGTCTAGGGACTGGAGAGTTAGCTCAATGGTTAAGAACACTTCTCTTGCAGAAGACCCAGGTCCAGTTCCTAGCACCCAGATGGTGGCTCATAGTTGTGTGTAACTCTGCCTACAGGGTATGCAGTGTCCTCTTCTGACCTCCGTGTGCACCAGGAACTCACGCAGTGCACATATACATGTGCAGGCAAAACACTCAGACACATCAAATAAAATAGCAAGACTGGTGCCCATCATGTTTGTCAGAATGGATCCACCTGCACCAGCCACCAAGTTCCCGATGGACCAGTAAGCGAATGTAATCTGGCAGACAGGAAGCCTCATTCCTGATAGAAGACTGAGAAGGGGAGGGAGACAGGGAGGGGGAGAGAGAGAGAGAGACAGGGAGAGGGAGAGAGAGAGAGGCAGGGAGAGGCAGGGAGGGAGAGAGAGAGAGGCAGGGAGAGGCAGGGAGGGAGACAGAGAGAGGGAGAGAGAGACAGGGACAGGGACAGAGGGAGAGAGAGACAGGGACAGGGACAGAGGGAGAGAGAGACAGGGACAGGGACAGAGGGAGAGAGAGACAGGGACAGGGACAGAGGGAGAGAGAGACAGGGACAGGGACAGAGGGAGAGAGAGACAGGGACAGGGACAGAGGGAGAGAGAGACAGGGACAGGGACAGAGGGAGAGAGAGACGACCGACAGGGAGACAGACAGACACACAAGTATTGCCTTCCCAAATCTCATCCAATGAAAGTAGAACACTGAGCAAAACTCCAGCGATGTCTCCTTTAATGGGGTGTGTTTTTGAAGTGGTGCTGTTTTGGAAACACCATTTGAGTGTTTTCTTCCAAACACTTTAGTGGACCCTGAGGAGTGAATGAGTATAGCAGGGCTCTGGGGACATTGGGTTCAGAGAGAAAAGCCCTTTTCCTTACATCATCAAAGTGGAGTTCCCCTCCGGTGATTCTAGACCCCCACCCATCCCACTGCAAGGACAGCAGGGGCTGCTTGCTACTGGAGTCATCAGCCATGCAGACTTGCCCTCTGACATGTGCTGACCTAAGCTGTAAGCTCCTTCTGACAAGGCCTGTGTGTATTCTGGACCCCCTTCTGTGGCTGGCATCCAAGTCCTTTCTGAATTGCTGGTGGTTCTGTGATGGGGCTGGCTACACTTCTGTGGATCTTTTACACTTTGGTGTTATTCCAGTCCTGAAGGCTGAGGAAGCCAGGGTTTTCTTTGAACAGAGGGGCATAGCAGTGTGTTCTGTCAAACTGGGCACAGATTCATCATTTAAAAGTTATTGTAATATTTGATGGAAATACTTACCAAACAGCATAGGGTTTGTCAAATTGTCTCCAATTACTTTTGAGGCAGAAAAGGAAAAGTTCTATTGATCCACACTAAAACAAATACTTGGTAAAATAATTTTGTTAGGTAAAAGAAACAATTCTGTAAATAGTTTATTAATCCTGTACTTAATTATGAGGCTTGCAAAAAAAAAAAAAAAGTGGTTTGTGTTTATTGACTATGCTGGTTCCCGGTCTCTAAAGAGTTTTCTCCATTCTTCATGCAAACCTCCATTTATTCCTTCCTTCAACGTATGTTAATTGGATAACTACTGCTTTTCAGGCTTTTGGATTCACAAATGAACAAAGCCTCATCTCAAAGTGTGGCCAGGTCTAGCCTGAGCTCTGTTTACCAAGTCTTTCTATAGAGACTTGGAAATATTCTGAAAGGTGGGCTCACTTAGTTTCTGATAGTTGCAGTTCCATATATTCTTTTTCTGTGTAACTAACAAAAAGCTAGTAATCTAAATGACTTACTGAAATTGTTAAACTGTGTTCATAACTCAGTAACCATTGTGAAGTTATCGCAGCACCAACACCTCTGTCCAGTCTTCTCCGTGGGCTCTTGATATCCATGGCCCTTTGCAACCTCTGCTCAGCCTTTCCCATGAGCTCCTGAGTCATCATCCTTTGACACTGGATAACTGTTGGCCCCAGTGAGCAGCAGGAGTCCTCAGATGTCTATAAATTTGTCCCATTAGTGTTTTCCCCAAAGAGAACTCCCACTCTTTGTTAAAATTGGTTTTGCATCTTGTTAATTGTGTTTTTAGGACCTTTGGACACAGTTTTCCAAACCCACGTTCTGTTTGTTCACTGTAATAAACTCCACCTGATTAGAATAGCTTCTGTTGGACAATGTATTTTGAAGACTTTTTACAGTGATCTCTATGAGTGAGAGTGATCTCTAACTTTCTTGGGGAAATGTGTGTGTGAATTTGACAACCTTTAAGTCAACAGCAGGCCTAGAAGTTCGAAGTCAGCATTTTTTAGATCCTGCAACTTCTAAGCAGAATTGTGGAAAAGCTGCATAAAATGTGTCAACTTTTACTCCCCTTTGACACAGGCATGCACATTTTTTGGATGTTCTAATTTAACTTGTGAGTGAGGGATAACTGAAAGAGAATTGAATTGTCCTGTTTTTCCCTTCTCTTCCATGTTGGCTAACAGCAAAAATGGACATAAAGAGGTTTCTTGTTGGTTTGTGTTTCTTTAAATACTACCTTATTTCTCACTGAAGCAAATTCTGGCTTGAGTGGACCATGTGTCAGTGACTCCCTCCATAATCCACTTTCTTAGCCAGAGGTAAGATTTGCTTGCCCTCTTCTATTGTGTGTGTGTGGTATATGCCCACATATGTGTGTAGGCATGTTGACCTGTGCATATTCATGTGGAAGCCAGAACTCTACTTCTAATATCTTCTACTACTTTACCTCTTAGTTTTTGAGACAGGGTCTCATGGAACCTGGAGCTTGTTGCTCAGTGAATACACTATAACACATGGTAATTTCATAGGACATGTAGGATCAGCATGCTGTGTCATTAGTTTATAAATTTATTAACAGTTTTTGTACACAAAAAGCATTACTACATAGTAGTTTATTGGCATCTAAATTGTTCTACAACCCTAGCAAGCTCACCCAATGGTGACTGTGGTCCTGTTATTGAATTTGGGTTGAGCACTTCATAAGGGAATTTCAAATAAGCAAGATTCACTTCCAAACCCATGGGGCTCTGTGAAGGCTTGAACACGCCTTGTCTGTGTACATGAGGTCAGATGGCCATGTGTTCATCTGTCATGAGGTAACTATGCAACAGACACAGCCCTGAAGTGAGTTCCAGTGATAGCTTACCTTAGTAACTAGGAGGGCAGATTATAGCAAATAGTGAAATATCAGCTATGTAAATGAAGATGGCTCCATAAAGCCTTGGGTAAGGAGGCCTCTTCCATAGCCTCAAAGGTGAAATGTAAATACAGAATAAAAATAAAACAAGAAGGTCTATCTGAGCAAGTGGTTCTGAACTCTGGTTGACTGCAGCAGCCAAGTTAAATTTAATGAATTAGAAGTCTCAGGTCCCAAAGTTCCTGAAAAAATACCAGGATAATAACTCAAGTCCAATAAATTTGTTAACAGAATACTACTTTTCAGGTCCTAGGTGTTTTTGTTTATGTTTTACCAGACAGTCATCTTGGATGCATTAGTTCTGTAGGCTTCTTGTATTTTTACTGGCATGTCTCTTTTATGTTGGGATAGTTTTCTTCTATGATTTTGTTGAATATATTTTCTGTGCCTCTGAGTTGGATTTCTTCACCTTTTCTATACCTATTATTCTTAGGTTTGGTCTTTTCACGGCATTCCATATTTCCTGGATATTTTGTGTTAGCGATTTGTTGGACTTAAGATTTTCTTTGGTTGATGAGTCTACTGAGATTTTCTCTTCCATCTCTTGTATTCTGTTGGTTATGCTTGTGTCTGTAGTTTCTGATCGTTTACCCAGCTTTTCTATTTCCAGCATTCCCTCAGATTGTGCTTTCTTTATTGTCTCTATTTCAGTTTTTAGGTCTTGAACTGTTTCCTTGAGAGAATGTTGATATCTTGTATTTTTGGTTTGTATTTCCTTCCATTTGTTTAAAGGATTTTCTCATGTCCTCTTTGAGGTATTTTATCATTTTCATGAAGATGTTTCTAAGGTCATTCTCTTCTGCTTCATCTGCATTGTGATGTTCAGGTCTTGCTGGTGTATAGTCTCCGGTGGTGTCATATTGGGTTTTCTGTTGTTGAATGTGCTTTTACCTTGTCCTCTTCTCATCTTTTCTTCTGGTAGGTTTATCAGGAGTCTCTTCCTCTCCTGGAGGGTATGGGACCAAGGTTTCCTCCTGGTAGATGCAAACAGTTCCAGTACTCTGATGTCTGTCCTCTTGTCGTGGATGGAGGCAGAACTGCCACCGGGGCCTTGACAGTGGCTGGGGGTTTTGGATCCCTGGGAACAGGAACCAGAGACAGCCCTTGATCTACCTGGGCCCCTCGATGGAGGCGGACCTGCCACTGGGGCCTCGGCAGTGTCCGGGTGTGCCAGATCCCGCTGCCAATCTTGGATCTGATGAGCAAACCCTTGGTGTCAGATGTCCAGCTTTTTAGAAAGTATTAATTTTCCAGTTCTTGCGTCTTATTCACTGGAATCAGAGAGAGTTTACCACTAGGAAATGTTCATTTAGGATATGGGTGTGCTAACTCCAGTGCTGGTTCTAGGAGGATTTTGCTGAAAGGTAATGTTGTTGTTGTTTCAGATGCAGAGCCGAAGTATCTGATAGTCGTGCGACCCGCTCCTCCTCCCAGCCAGAAGAAGTCATGCTCAGGTACAGCCCTTGCACTGGATTTTCTTGTAGTTAGCTATGCACCATGCAAGTTCACACTCTGCCACACAGCACAGATGGCATGTCTTAGGAATGTCCTAACAATGGAGGTGCAGAGAGTATCAGTCCTGAGCCTGCAGCTTACCTTGTTAGATGAGCAGCCTAGCCCGGTCTTAGACACTGCTCTCAGCAAAAATTGGCATTGCCCCTCTTGTCACTGCCTATGCTGATGTTTATATAGCTAAATGTTCTCTTGACCTTGGTTACTGTGAATAAGAATGAACAAGAGTAAACTTTATGACTGTGATATTGTTGCCAACCTGACAGGAGCTAGAATCACCTTGGAAACATACCTCTTGGCACACCTGACAGAGATTATTTAGCCTCTGGGTGTGCCTGTGAGTGATTATGTCAAGTAGGTTAATGGAGATGGAAAGACCTAACAGTGGGCAGTATGGTTCCCTGAGCTTAGATCCTGGACCACATAAAAGGAATGGACTAGCTGAGTGCCTGGATCCATCACCCTCTGCTTCTTGCTTGTGGAGGTGCACCAGCTATTTCAAGTGCCTGCTTTGAATGAATTACCCTTGACTCATGAGTCAAAATAAACCCATTCTCCTTTAAATTGCTCTTGCTGGGGTATTTAGCCACAGCAACAGGAGAAAAACACAAAAGATTAAAAGCTTGCCATGTCCAATTAGTAATACTTCATCCGAGCATTGTTCCTGAAGGAAAACATTGGGTCCTCTAACACAGAGCATCTTCCTTCCCATGAGCAGTATTGACCACAGAGTTTTGCTCTGCAATTTCTGTGAATCCTTCTCAATGATTCCCTAAGTATGTTTGCCTTTTGAGTAACCCTGGATGCCCTGCACAAAAGCATCTGTTTGTTCTGCTTATCTGACAGGATAGGATGGGAGAAACAGCATTTGACACTTCTGCCACACCAAGCATAGGGGCCGTGGCCACTCTGAATTTTGTACTCAGTGGACCAGCACAGGACTGTCACTGGAAATCTGTTTCCAGCACCCTTTTCTCCTTTCCCTTGACTTCCATATTTCTTTTACAAGTAGCATGGAATGATCAAGCATTTTTTAAAAGCAAATAAATTTTATTATATATTATTTTTTAATGACAATTAGAGCAATTTTAAATTAGAAACAAGCTTCTTTTACATGTCAATCCCAGTCCCTTCTCCCTCCTCTCCTCCCCTGTCCCCCCATCCCAACCCCTTTCTGCCCCCCAAGGAGGGTGAGGCCTTCCATGGGGGAATTTTTGAAGTCTGTCATAAGATCAAGCATTTTAATAAATAGAAATATATATGAATTCATCACCCCAGCCTCTTACCTTAAAGCAAGAGGGGAAAACTCAGTATCTTAAGACAGTGTTCCAAAATTTTGAACAATAAGATCAAATGTGATTATGGTGTCTTTGAATGAGATTTCATTTGGCTAGTACTGAACTATTTATTCATATAACCCTGATCATATAAATAAAAATGTACATGTAAATAAAAATCAGACACTGAGGCTTTTTAGCTCAAGTGATCATTTCTACCTTCATTTCAAGGTTTTTGCCAGTAGCCATGGAGATGATCTCTCATTTCCTCATTCCTAGCTCAGGAGATTGTGTTACCCTCCTCAGCACACAATAGTCTGCCTTTCCTCTGGGGTAATGGCTGTGATTCCTGGTTTTTATTCTGCATCTGGGAGAGATGCAGTGACGAATGCAATCACCTCCATTCGTTTTACATTTGCATCTGCCACATGGATTCTAATTAGCTAATCTTTTTCATATTAAAACCACCAAGTTAGTGACATAATTGTTTGAACATGCAAGCTTAGGATCCCTTGGCGAATGAAATATACATTTTTCATCTCTGAGCTGCATTTCATCTCGTCATACACTGTAAGCAGAGCCAAGGATTCACTGCAAAGGAAATTAGAAAATAATCAAGGAAACTCAAATAGGAGTTTTTACCTTCCATCCTGTGTAACTTGGAACACCCTTGCGACTTTTCTGGCCCTTATTGTTCATCTATAAAATAATATTGTTGTATTGCATCTATGACAGTCAACTCACAAACAGGAAGAATAGTGTTTGTTTGCAACTGTCTGTGCCTCCACCTTCAGTCAAGATTCTCATCTCTTCTCCTTGGAGGTCAAATGTAGGCCACTTAAATCAGCATCTGCAAGGCATGATGACAGATGCATTTGAAAGGTTTACAGAGAAGAGTACATGCCAACAACTATTATGATCTTCATAAATGACTTTAGACATCATCAAGAGGCTAACTTCCCTAGTTAAGTTTCTAGTGTTCTGTTACTATGTCAAATACCCAAACTAACCTTAGTTTTAGAAGTTTGATTCCATAATCACTGGGCCCCATTCTTTAGGGCATTAATACTCTCTTTATGATCAGAAGGCAAAAAAAAAAAAACTGGACAGGGAAAGAGACTGGGATTCTACAATCCCCATTTTAGGGCAGACCCCCCCAAAATCTAAACTCTTCCATTATGTCTTACTTCTTGAAGTAGCTCCCAATAACAGCATGGAGTGAAAACCAAGCCTTTAGCACAGGGATGCTCACTCAAACCATAGAACCATATGTAATAAAACCCAACTGTTTATTATTTTTAAGTTGAATGTGTTTGATACTTCACCATAAGGAAATGCCAGATGTTTAAGGTTATAGATTTACTGTTTTGAGCATTACATGATGTATGCAGGTATTAAAAGATATGACACTCCATAAATAAGCCAACTGTATTAGAATGAGGCATTTTTATATCACTAGGTTCTGTAAATTCTGGATTCAGAGGCTTTCTTCCTGGAGTCATAATTGACAGAACTCAAACATAATTAACTGTCATAATTGAAAATTTTCAAGAGCATTTGTTTCAAATAGTTACCATTACACTCACTTATGGGTTCCTGTCCTATATACTTTAATAAAGGCCCCAGGCACTGTGGTGTAGTCTTCCAAGCCCATAAGACTAAGAAAACAGAAGTTCTTCCTTTGATTCACATTTAAACTCATGGATAAAAATCAATTTTGTAGACTATATGAAAAGCTGAGAAATTCTCAAAGAATTAATAAGTTATAATATTTCAAAAACTCTCTCATAAAGCTCAGAAATTACTCAGAAAAATTTCTTGACATGATAAAAGCTAAACCAAAAAGGAAGGACTAACTTGCCAAGTTGTCTTTGTGCATTCATTTTACTCAAAATATCAATCAAGAGATTTTGTTCCTTTCCCCTTCTCTGGGGGACCATGTATGTCTCTCTTAGGGTCCTGAGCAAATTGGGAGCATGGGGAGAGTGGGGAGGGGGTAAGAGAAAGAGGAGGGTAGAAGGGGGAGGAGAACATGAGAGATCAGGAAGATCGAGTTGGGGGAAGAATAGAGGAGAGCAAGAAAAGAGATACCATAATAGAGGGAGCCTTTAGGTTTAAAGAGAAATCTGGCACTAGGGAGATGTCCAGGGATCCACAAGGATGACTTCAACTAAGAATCTGAATGGAGAGGCTACCTTAAATGCCCTTTCCCTATAATGAGATTGATGACTACCTTAAATGCCATCATACAGCCTTCATCCAGTAGCTGATGGAAGCAGAAGCAGAGATTTACAGCCAAGCCCTAAGTGAACTCCTGGAATCCAATTGTAGAGAGGGAGGAGTGATGAGCAAAGGGGTCAAGACCATTCTGGGGAAACCCACAGAAACAGCTGACCTGAGCAAGTGGAATTTCATCAACCCCAGTCTGACAGCTGGGGAACCAGCATAGGACCAAACCAGGCCCCCTGAATGTGGATGTCTGTTGAGAGGCCTGGGCAGTCTATGGGGCCTCTGACAGTGGAACCAGTATTCATCCCTAGTGCACAAAGGGGCTTTGGGAGCCCATTCCTTATGGGGGGATACTCTCTCTGCCTAGATACAGGGGGGAGGGCCTAGGTCCTGCTCCAAATGATGTGTCAGACTTTGATGATCCCTCATGGGAGGCCTCACTGTCCCTGGGGAGTGGATGGGGACTTGGTGAGGGGGGATGGGAGGACTGGAGGGAGAGGGAACTGGGATTGGTTTGTAAAATAAGATTGTTTTTAATTTAAATAAAGTTTTATTTAAACAAATCAATCAAAAGGTGCTGTGTCCTCACTGCCGTTTCCACTGACACCAAGAGAAATGAAGAGGTTTTGGAGAGATGGGGAAGATGGAAAAATGAAGTGGGACTTTTTGTTTCCTTTTTAATTTTTAAATTTTCTTTTTGGGGGAACACTATGGGGGCGGGGGCAGATATGGAAGGACTGGGATTGGGTTGCATGATGTGAAATTCTGGAGTTAACTGTGCTCTGCCTCCACAGGTAAATCTCGCTCTCGAAAACCTCTCCAGCTCGTGGTTGGTACATTGACGCCAAGCTCAGTCTTCCTGTCCTGGGGTTTCCTTATCAATCCACACCATGACTGGACGTTGCCAAGTAACTGTCCCAATGACAGGTAATTCCCCATATTAGAGATTTTTTTCTGATTACTTTTGATAGTAAGGACACATGCTTAGACAAATGTACAAACTTTTGGACCCTTGGCATTTACTTACCACCTATTAGCTACACAATTTTTCTAGGTATGAGGGGTACACGGACATCTAGTAAGGGACCCTGCTAGTGACAGAACTGTGATCTGAGGAGAAAACATACGGATGTATGTTTATCAGCAAATGAGCAAATACAAGGGGACGGATCAAATATCAAATGGGCAGAATCAGCAAAATAAGCAGTATCATGTAGAGAGCACAGAGGAGTAACTAAAGATCTAAAGGAGCAGATACATACATCTAACATGTCTGTCTGTGTGTATATTATATATATTGTGTATGTAAATGTGTATGTATCCTTTCAAATGATCAGAAATATTCCTTATTTTATGCACTACTAAGTCTGTGACTTATCTTGCTCCAGTGATTGATTTGATTTTTTCAAAGAACTTATTTTTTAATGATTATTGCAGTTGTTAGTGGATTCCAGTACTAAAATAAATAAATAAATACATTGAGATAAGCTCCTACTCTGTAACTCAGGTGACCTTGAACTTACTGATCTTCCTGCCTCCACCTCCAAAGTACTGGATCTTTGACCTGAAAATTCAAGAGTGCTTGAAGCAGGAGTCTTTGAAGTATGGTCTCTTTTCTTCTTCTTCTTCTTTTTTTTTTTAGAGACAGGGTTTCTCTGTGTAGCTTTGGAGCCTATCCTGGCACTTGCTCTGGAGACCAGGCTGGCCTCGAACTCACAGAGATCCAATTGCCTCTGCCTCCCGAGTGCTGGGATTAAAGGTGTGTGCCACCAACACCCAGCTGAAGTGTGGTCTTAAATTGAGCTGAATCACTGTTGTCGTCATTGGGGAACACGTAACATGCAAACTAAAGTTCCCCACCCCTGACTTCACTGGGTCAGAAATTGTGGGTCTCAACTATCTGTGTTTCAACAAGATTTGTAGATGATTCTGATGCCCACTGATAATAAAGGAAAACTGGCTTAGAAAACTAATGTGCACACAGGAGAATTAAGCAGAGATGAAACAGAGAGGTGTTTGGCAGAACAATTGAAACAGTCACTTGTGTTTTTTGATAACTGCAACTCACTTACCCCAAACCCCAACACAATCTTTGGCTCTGTCTGAAATGAGCAGTGTATTTAACACTGAACCATGATCCTAAATGGCTTATAAAGAGTATTTGCTTCCCATAAATATTTACTACATAGATATAATTCAAAAGTTGTAACTGTACAAGTTTGCAAAAATCTCAAGATTTGAGACATTTAAAAAGGGATTTCTGTAGTTCTTGTTTTAAACACTAGAAATTCAAATTTGAGAAAAGTTGTGTTTCTACTTAAAATAAAAAATGTAAGGTATAATTTAAACATAGTAAAATCTATAAAACTTGTGCAGTTCGAGTTATTTTGGTATTTTATATTTGATAACATTAAGAAATAGAATGCAGAATCTTATTCTCTGTGCCTTGAGCATTTGTGGGTCTCTGTGTTATCACCTACTTCAAATAGATATTTCTCTGATGAAGGGTATATCTATGGGTAAAAGGCTTAATCATTAGGAGTATGTTTAATACTGTGTCCATTTAGCAACATACTGGTAGTAGGTTCTTGCTGAGGGCCGATGACCTATCTAGCCCAAGGTTCTTGTCCTAGTAATGGTGCCAGGTATGGGTTTCATTTTGTGGTGTGAGACCTAAATCCACCAGAGAGTGGTTGGTTACTCCCATAATGTTCATTTCACAGTTGCACTGATGAGCACAACTTGCAAGGCCAGTCATTCTTGTAGTTCTCAATGATCAAAGCTAGGTAAGATGATGGTTTTCCTCTGGTAGAATGCACAGTACCTCCAAGCACCAGGAAAGCTAGCCAGGAGGGATGAAACTTCCACATCAGGATCAGATTGCTCTCTTCATGTTCTATGACTCCAGCAATAGGGTCTTATTGTCAAGTTCTAGAGGGCAACAAAGACCAGTACCAATAGCCTATAATGTTTGGGTGTCTGTGGGAGCTCATTGACCAACATGGAAAAGAAGAAACCCTTTTTTTTGCACTGGGATTTTTATCTTTTAACTTGTGATGTCTAGTAACATTGTTGGCCTGTGGGTAGGAAGTGGGGATCAATCTGGGAGGAGCTGGAGGAGGGAGGTGAGTATGATCAACACATATTGTATGAAATTCTCAAATAGCCAATAAAAACAAAGAAATAGAATTCCAGAAAGTAACCTCCCCCAGAAACATCCCCTGATTGGATTTTTATCACTATAAATTAGTTTTGCCTCCTCTAGAAATCTGTATAATTGGATTCACATTGGTCTGTCTTCATTCCTTCAGCATGCTTTTGGATTTCATTTCTAACATTGCAGGTGTCAAAAGTCTACTCCTTTTTTATTTCTGGGTAAGCATTCCAGTATGCGAATATTCTAGTTCGTTGTATATTCTGCTGGTGGGTACAAGAATTGTATTGATGAGGCTGGAGAGATGGCTCAGTGGTTAAGAGCACTGTAATCTTCCAAAGGACCAGGTTCCAATTTCCAGCACCCACATGGCAGTTCACAACCATCTTACCTCCAGTTCTAGAGGATTTGGGTACCTTCTTTTGTCCTCTGAGAGCACCACATACACATGGCCCATATGTGTGCATGTGGGCAAAATGCCAATGCACATAAAATAAAAAATAACAAACTGTTGGTGGTTGTTTTTGTGACTATAGCTTCTATAAACATTTTCATGTAAGACTTTGAGTAAATGAACTAGTCTCTTGGGTGGAAAGTACCTCCAGTTGGAGTTGCTGCATTGCAGGTGTACATGTAGGATGTATATTTAACTATCTTTCTGACTTCATCTATATTCCTTTATGCAGGCTGTGAGCGCTCTGCTTGCTGCAAACCTCTTCAGTGTTTTGTGTTGTGGCATTTTTCATTGTAGCTCTCCTGGAATAGCGCTGAACCATTATACTTAATGTGCACTTACCTTGCACTAAGGGTAGCTGAGCTTTTGGGCTGTAAGATTATTTTTGTCTGGTTTTATTGTAAACTGAGCTGAAATGAAAAGCCTTTAAAGGTCTTTGCACGTTCTCAAAAGTACCTTTTAAATTACTGATTAGGAAATCTAAGCTGAAAAGAAATGAAACCAAATTTTTCTGCCTGTGACCATGGTCCTCAAGGAATAAAATACTTGGGGGAAAAAGCACATGGATGATTATTTCCAAAACTCTTTTTTTTTAAAAAAAATAATTTTTAAGAGTTTCAAAAAATCTGAAATATTCCTTATTTCACCCACCATTAAGCCCATTACTTATTTTACTTGGAAAATACTCTTGAAAGTGCGTATTTGTTTTATGATAATTCCAGTTTTTAGTCAGTAGTTCAGTATGCCAACAATGAGAAAATAATATGCGGGTTGAGTTGCTCCCCACTCCCCCAAAACAAAAGCAAAACAATAACAAAGAAGAAAGAGGAGCAAAAGAGGAGTGAGGAAGAGAAGAAAAAGAGAAAGGGAATTTGATACTCATACAGCAAAAATGCACTTTGGTTTTAATGGTTGCTCAACTTGCTCACTTGAATCCTTGAGGTGATATGTTCCACCAAGATCAGCAGCAGCCAGGGGAATTCTTGGAGAATGTGCAGCAAGTGCCTTCCAGTGCCTTGTGACTTTCCTTTATTTATGCTTGAGTAATGCTGACCTTTCCCTGAAGAATTTATCTACTCTTAGTTCTGATGGACAGAGGTTTCCATAGTTGGCAGCCCAGATGGACAGAGCATTTTAGAGAATGTCGGAGCAGATGCTGAGAGCTAGGCTGTAGACTCTAAGGCTTGTCTGACTCAGATCATAAATACATCTCACCCTTACCCCTAGCTCACCAATTCTGGCCCTGCCTATCTTGTTAAATAAATGCAGTCATGTATATCAAATTACAGTATTGAAGTTCTGCTTTGAGTAAAGTGTTCAAAAGGTTAAATGTCATGTCAAAATGATTCCATCTTCTTAAATCTGAGTTGGGAAAAATGGGGACCTGTTAAGACATGACTTGAAGAATTAGAGATTCATGGCTGAAAAGGAACATTTTAAGTACTTGTGGGTTTTGCTTTCCCAGGCATCTTTGCTCCCAATTCAGCACAGTTAGTAATGAGCTCCCATTCTAAAGCTTTTGTCCTGTGTCAGAAAAACGAGCAGTACTTATTTAAAAGCACCGAAAATACTGTATACATTATAAATACCCAAGTGCCTCTACCAGAACTGCAAATAATTAGAAACAGACTTGGAGAAATTAACCCTCATTTAGTCTCACTTCCTTTTTATGAGGTTAGAGCAATCTAATGGTTTAGAATAAGTAACAATAGCTCAAGGAGATGATTATGTCTTGAAAATTAGAAGACTAATATATCTGAGAATTTTCTTGCAAGTAACACTTTCTTTAAAAAGACACTGGAATCTGACTGCCCTTGGATTGCTGCAGAAACACAATTGGAGTTGGAGTAAACCAATAAACCTTCTGTAAAGACTGATTTATAAAAACTGTTCCACATTGGTTTCTAGAAATTTCCATTATCTCATGCAGAGAATGTTTCAGACAAGTTTTTCCCTTCTTCCTTGACTTTGGGCTTTCCATATCAAAGCTCTGACTTAGTTTCCAATGAGGGCACCCCATGCTCTTCTTGCTTTAAGCTTGGGTGTATTCATGGGCAATTGATCTAGCTCTTCAGTCCATTTTTTGCCCTGCTTTCGCACAGTCTATCTGGATCCTTTTGGATCCTTTCCACAGTTCATGCTGGAAAGTAGATGCTTTGTCTGTGGTTTTGTGCTCAGTGGTCTTTGACTGGAAGAAGGTAACATTTGTCCTCAGTCTAAGACCAAAAGATAACTTTCTAAGCTGACGTAGAGAAAGGATAAGATTTTTTTTTAGTCAACATTTGCTTTAACATTGATTGCTTCTTTGTCCTCCCCATT